GCCAGAGCCACTTAACATAAGCTGCTGCTTTTCATTTATATTTGTCCCCTGCCCTGCCTCTTGTGATGAAAACATGCAATAGCACAAAATAAAAACACAATCTTGTTTTCTGAAAAAAGGTTATATAGTTGGCAGGGCACTGCAAATCTACTAATACTAAACAATTCACATACACGACAATGCAAAGTTCCATACAGGAATACAAAATAGTTAAACATATTTCCATTGAAAAAAGACATACATCAATAGATAGGAAACATTAAGCATCACAAAAAGTGAAAGAAACAGCAAAAATACCATTTAACCAGAATAATAGACATGATCAGATAAAGGTAAATTGATAAAGTCATCACTGAACTTTACAGACAGGTTGGAATAACTTGTTTGGTTTCTTTCATAATTTGAAAATTGGCTCAAGAGCTGTGGAGAAAAGAGAACAGATATATGATGACCTACAGATTTTACTTGGTCCAACTAAACAAGAGGTATAAGATCGATCAGGGCCCATGACCATTTAGCCACTAAGAGAATATTGGTACATTTCTTTAAGTCTGTAATTTGAAAAAATGAAAAAACCCAGAATCAAATTGCAAGAGAAACCTGATTCCTTGTTGATGTCCTGACCATGGGCTCTTGGTTGTGGCTTTCTCATTCCCAGCGTCTCTCTGGACACTACTTCCTGCCATTCTTTCTGCTTCTCTGGCAACCATCCTGGAAACTGATATCTGGATAACCTATGACCTTCCGCTGCTTACTCACCTGACTGTCCACCCTTTAACTCTCTAAAAATCTACAACTGCAACCAGGCTTTTAGCTAAGAATATTGCATAGGGTGTACATCTTGGTGTATCACATCTTTAGGCTTTGCATGGCATAGGGAGGGGGTCCTGGGGTATGCTCCCCTAGGAAATTTACTCTCTGAAAGGCTATTTTCTGCATTTTGAATTGGATTGCAGCTAACTTTCATAATATTTTGCTAGCAGGTTTCGATATACTAAGTTAATTTAGGTGTTAATAAACAGTTTTCAGTGGAGTGACAATAGCTGTCTGCTTCAGCACCACTGTCTGTCTCCCTGACAGCTCCCCGAGCAGCTTGGTCGATGTGGCACATTGAGCAGCAAAAATTTAAATGTTCCAACATCTGATGCTTGTGAAATTTTGAAAATTTGAGCAACGTTTCCAGGGGGAAAATATATGTACAATTTGATATAGTTTTAGTAAAAGGCATACAATGTACAGCCGTATGCATTGCTTTGGTTGCAACCCTTAGGTCTCCATTCTTGTCTATCTCAAAGCAATCTCAGAACATTTCGGTATCAACAACTAACCAATTACTTTTCTACTCCATTAGAATCTTGATCCAAATCCTAAAGAAACGTCTCCTTGTGTTCAATAAGCCTTTAAAGCTCTTGTCCAAAGTTGTTGCATTCTTTACAGTCCACAAAAAACAACCTTACAACCTGTAAAGGTTTTATCAAGCCATATTAAACCCAACTAAACTCCCATTTGCCACAAGATTGTCGATCCAGGTTTCCGTATTCCAGCCCTTCTTGCTAAGAGGTTTTAAAGAAATCCAAACAATCTGTGCGTCTTTATGTTTCTTGGTTTCCTGACTAGCTCCTTGACCTTAATGAGAACTCACCGCTGGCCCTTTGAACAATTTTAATACACCAACTTGCACCTGCTTGTTCGCTTCTCGAGAGCTAGGCTGCTAGACCTAAAAAAGGACTAACCAAACAGTCCTAACGACTTCTCCACCACCAACCATAACTGTCCCTAGAATTACCAGTACCTCTCTTGAGACTGTTGCATCTCTCCAGAGGTAGGAAATAATCCCATCAAAGCTCACCTGGTACTCTCAGAAATCCCTTAAGCTTCTCTCCCTCAGACTAAATCCCAGGAGTCTGGCTGTCAACTCAGACTCTGCTTTCATTCCTCTTACATAAAATAAACATCTTAACTGCACCTGTTTGCATATGGTTAATTCATGCAGGAGAGTTGCATCTACAAATGTCACAGTTTTACAATTCTATCTGCTGCTCTGGGTACTTAAGTGCAATTTGCCTTTTCTATCCAGATTACCTCATAACATCTCCCACTGTCACTTCACATGACTTCATGTGATGCTAAACAGGGCTGCAAGACAGAACATTCATAATCCTTCACAGTCGGATGTGGGGAAAATCCATGACTGTCTTCCCCATTTCTCAATAAATAGGCAAAAAGAATGCCTGAGGAGTAACGTCCAGTGTCAGCGATCAGCCTCTGGATGAAGGAATGTAACCTCTTCTCAGTGTCAGGGGACATTACAGCTGAATCGAGTCTTTGTTTCGTAATAGGTTTCTGTCCTCAACACTGCATATTTAAATGGGAGTGTTTTGATCTGCAGGCAATATGCTCAGAGAAATGGGGAATTCAATAAGATCCTGGACCTGGATTATAAAAGAATAAGAGCTAAACTTGTTTTAAAGTTTAATAACACATTATGAAACTAACATACATTCATATAGATTGCTGGATTAATGATTAAGTTTTCAATTTAGTGCAGTTTATTAAAATATAACTATAATCTAAAAAGTGGAATTCGAATAAAGCTTATTTAAAAAATGGTTCCATTGTTGGGATATAAGTAGACAAAAATATTAGGACTATGTAATAAAACACAGAAGAATAATGCCTAAATATAGGCATTATTGGAAAGAAAGAAAAGAACAAACCTACTACACCAGTTTTGCCCATCAAGGAGTCACAGTTAACAACATAATTGTTTGCCAGAATTGCTGAATAGGTATTTTGATTAAGAAAGATAAAAACAAAGGACAATTTTTTATTTTATTCTATCACGATTTCCTTGTATATCACATTGTGTCCGGGAAAACAGTATAAATAAATGTTTCTGTCTTAATTAAATTGACTGGTTCAGGATGTAACCTCTTATTTATTTGCCATTTTTGTTTAAAAAATGCTTAAATGTGTGAGTATAGCACAAATGAATAAATATATGATATAGCCAAGATATAAGATAATTAACAGATGCTTTTCTGAAATGTTTAATGCTAAATATTCATGTTATAGATCTGCATTGAGCATGAGGGGGAGCTGTTTTAGTAAAGCTAACATAGCAATATCAAGAAAAATGATGGAACTTAAGTGCACTGTTCTCTTCAAAATAAAGGTTGAAACGTAGGACATGCCAAGTGCTAAAAAGAAACAACCCAACTTTGTTTCTTTTGCAAAACATAAAAAAGCAACAACAACCAAGTTTTTATTCAATAGCATTTACACTCACTGTTTAACCTTGGTTTTAGTCTGTAAACACCTCAAACACTGACATTTAAGCTTACATTATTTCATCATGCTAGATTTATCCAAACTATTGAAGAGGATAAGGGCCACTGATAAAATGTAGAGAAGCTAACTGATTCTTGAATAAATTAAATTCAGTATGATATGAGAAAATAGTCAGGATTCTGACTTTAATCTGAGAATTCTGACTTTTTCCCCATATTAATCTGAAATAATAATAATAAAAATCAGTTAACCTTTTTTTCTTTTCAGTGGCCCTAATCCTCTTCCGTACTACGATATATTCCTTCATGGACAGAATTCTGAGATTAAAGTCAGTATTTTTAGAAAAAAGTCAAAAATCTGAGATTAAAGTCAGAATTCTGACATTTTTCCCATATTATACTGAAATAAAATTTAAAAATCAGTTAACTTTTTTAATATTTTCAGTGGCCCTAATCCTCTTCCATACAAATCTATAAGAAATCTAAGGATTTTTTTTCTCAAGGCCCCTTTTCCTATAACATCACAAAGAATTGAAAGACTTTAAAGCTTTAATTTTTACCTCCAATGAAGTCATTGCTTTGCTGTTTGTGGCCTTTACCCATGGTATTGCTGCAAATAATAATGGTTATGCGTTGTCTGCTTATTATCAGTGACATTTTATGACATTAGAGGTTCCCAGGATTTTACCAAGCTTGAAATCATTTTTTATTTTTATCTGAAGAAACGTAACCCTTGACAACAAAGCTGCCATCACCATATTTCATGATAAGTAAAGTTTTTTTTTGTTGTTGTTTCTTTTTCTATGATGTGATAACATATCAGACATACACTCAAAAAAAAAAACAACAATCTGTTGGATGAACATAAAAAATGATGGAAAGTATTTCCATCTAATCAATATATGGTAATTTAGCAAGATTTTTTGTTTTGATTGACATTAATGCAAATATGCTGGTTTAACATAAGGTATTGGTGTTACTTTTACTCAATTACAATGGGTAAGTCCAACATAATAATTATTTGTTGGGTGAACAAACAACATTTATGTTAAGTATTTCAACCCAATTATTACATGCTTATTATGGGAAAGGACAGTTTTGTTGAGAGAAATTAATGCAAACAAGCTGCATATACAAAATTTGGCATTACTTTTAAGGTTAGTTCTACATATTTATCCATGTTTGATTGCAGTTTACCCTCTGGAATAACATAGAAAGGCTAAAGATTGATTTTGTCTAACCATAACATCTTTTTAAGATTCTAGAAAATTACAAATAGACCTGAAAGATGAACATGTAAAGATGTTTGGAAAAAAAGAAAAAAAAAACGGAACCTGGAAACAATCCTTGAAAGGGTTGGCAGAAAACCAGGTTTAAGCTGTCGTATTTTTCCCCTTACTTTTATAGATTTCTTTATATATTGAACACAGTTTAAATAAAATACTTGTTATGAACTCAGATTATTACAATATATATATATATATATATATATATATATATATATATATATATATATATATATATATATATATATATATATATATATATATATATAAATGTCTAGTTTTAATCGAAAAAGAAATAATACAAACAATTCAAGATTTTACTTTGAAAATTCAAACCGGATATTGCGCTTGCCTTATAAATGACTTGACGCAGCTGTGTCATTATAACCAAGCAGAGGCTGCTCTCAGAAGCACATGGTCTCTGTTCAAAAGGCAACACTTCTCAGCAGTTTCTGCTTGGAAATTAAATCTCATACCAGTGGGCGACTAAGACAGAAGAAGCTTGTGTATCTCCTAATGTTTTCCTCTCTTTACAACATCTCCTTCCCCATTTCTATTAATCCCCGTCAGGAGGCTCTTCTCCCTGTGGATCCCTCGCTGAATGGCCACAGACGTGCTGAGTTAAAGCAGCTGTTATCAGGATTCCCTGACGCGCTTCTCGCAGACGCACTTGATCAAATTTCAGGAAGTCCCTTTCTACTTATTTAAGGGGGGCTGTTGAATATCAGCTGTTGTCGGATTTGGGGTTGTATGATGGTTGGGCTGCTGTAGAGACGCTTCAGCATCATGAGAAACCAGACCAAGAAGAGTGTAAAGTTTATTCTGACAGCACTTCAGACTTTGACTGTCAGCTGGTTGATCTGTGAAAAGTTTCCCTCTGCAGAAGGTAAGAGAAACGAAAAATCATCTGCTTTGTGTGCATCATCTTAGACTACATTTTCTGCTTTTAAGTGTATCAGCAGCTATGCATATTCTCTGATGTACGTAAATGGAGTAAGTTGATGCATGCTGTTTATTTACTGTCAGTG